ATTTTTGGGTATAAGATGTCTTCTTTTAACATTGCATGTGCACCGCTTCAGAAAAGCACAGGCTTCCGATATAATCGTCGATACGCTTTTTAAAACACCTCACAGAATCGGCCTCTATTAACTCTTCTGCTAGTGTATTCCATAAGTTTACGATTTTTCGTTCTATTCAAAGCTGATGTGATACCTTATTCATGCAGGGGACCCCAAGTTTGTAACGGTTTCCTCGGGTGCTACTGGGCTCCTGCAGGTGAAATATTGGCCGCAGTATGGGAAGTGATTCAAGTGTAATATTCGATGGGTCACAGTAAGATTAATTCTTACTCGGCGGTAGGATAGTGTGTAGAGTCCAATCCTTTCATAACGTTTTTCATACGGAAGCTTTCGTAGACTGGGAATCATTTTAGTAGCGATGTGCTGTAGTTTCGCCAGCTTTTCCGTTTTCCACTGGGTTATCGGATAGTAAGCTTGGGCACCGTATTCAAGGATTTGTCTGATGAGCAAGGTGAATAGGTGAGGGACAGTTTCTTCGGACTATGTGAAAAAACTGCGTTTGAATGCCCAGAGCATACGAAGTCCCGCACGGTACAATTTCACTTCATTTTCTAGTGATCTCATATCATATCTCGAGAGCACTCCTAAGTCTGTGACTGATGTGTTAGGGTGGAGCAACTGGCCGTCCAAGATGTATGATCTGGTATGGTGACACTGATGGACACTGATGGCGTTAAGAGGGAGTTGCGTGTCAGTGAATCACGTTTACAGTAACTCCAAGTCATGCTGGAGGCGAACGAAGTCATCCTAGTTCGCAATGGTCCTCCAGATTTTCAAATTATCTGCAAACAGAGTATATGGTGACTGGGTCTGCTGCGGGAGTTCGTTGATTTGAATAAGAAATAATACTGGCCCAACTACACTTTCTTGAGGCACGCCACTGCTCGATGAGAGCCAGTCTGTAAAACAGTCATTAACTAAACTTTCGTCCCACACTAAACTCGTGTAACCACTGAAGCAGCGTGCCACCGATACCGTAGGTCTTCAGTTAACGAAGGATTACCTCGTGGTCCACTCTCTCAACCGCCTTACCAAAGTCGATGTACACCAGATCAACATCATTTCGTTCGTTGAGAGCTCGTACCCACTGGTTTTTGCGTACATGAAGTTGGTGATGCAGGATCGACCTATCGTGAAGCCGTGTTGCGCTGGCGTCAATACGTCCATCGTTTCGCAAATGGACAGCAGATACGTTTCACAACTTTCTCGAGAACTTTGGATCATATCGAAGTCAAACAGATCGGATCACCACCCTTGGGAAGCGGTCTCACTATCGAGCATTTTCAGTCGTTGGGGACAGATCCCTCAGAGGGTGATTTATTGAATAGGTTTGTCACGGCTGGTGAGATGATAATCGATAGTGACTTGAGTATTAATGGGTGAAGTTCGTCTGATCCGCGGGGCTTTGCACCATCGAGGTTGACGAGTGGCTGATACACTTCGACTGCATCACATTGTAAGCTGTCGAGCAACATAGTCGCAACCTGTGCCGGTACTGGAACAGGCGCCGGTTTACTGAAAGATAAGGTGATGAAGTTCTAAGCCAAGGTGTCCGCATTCTCCGCGATTGAAATGAGCGCATGTCCGTCCAAGCTCTCTAAGACCGGTAGGCCGCCCGCAGGTTTCATTTGACGCTGCAAGCAAGCAAATATCCTTTTTGGGGCGTTGTGACCAAGGCTGATAGCTACTCTATGAACTGCCGGCGTTTCTTGATCTTTACGACGTTACATTTGATACGCTGTTCCTTGGTCGCTGTGTAATATTCATCACAACCGAACCTGATGTAGCTATCCCAAAGTTTGCGACGGCGTCGCACTAACTGCCTATATTCCATATCAAACCGACGCGGTTTGACAGGTTAGACTTTTGAATACTTCAGGAGAACGAACCGAGTACGCAGTGAGTTGAGCTTTCCCTTCATTAATGACCAACGGGCCTCAAGCAACGCATCCTGTGGTAGTGTCCAGTCAGTCTGACGTGCGGCTTGGACGAGCCGTTGAAGCTTTATCTTTTAATAGTTGAATGTCGGCTTCCTATTTTGTAATACGGTAACGGCAGTTCAGTGCATACCACAATGGGGCAGTGGTTACTGTTCGCCAGAGGTTCGAGGACTCTGATCTCTTTCAGCTTCTGCTCGCAGTTGGTAAACATTAGGTTCGGACAAGATGCCGAGTACGGCGTTACGCGTGTCGGTTCGATGACATGTTGTGTTGCCCCGATTTCAATAGTCATTTCAGCGAACTGAGCCACAACGTTGCCATGACTGGGAAGAAATCGAACGTATGTCTAGAATATCTTGGGTAAATTTAGATCCCCCATCAATAAGAAATGACGGTGGTTCATGTGCTTTTGCACATGTGGTAGCCAATTACAACAACGGTTTGATTGACTACGGTAGATAACATACTCTATTAGTACTGCGCGTCTGAGGCGGATTATGCACCACAATTGCTCCCATAAGTTATCGTCGCTCCCATAATTGTTGGCAAGTTTGGCAGATAGTGACGATTTTATGTACAACAGGACACAACCGTGAGCCTTCGATTTTCGGTCGCGTCGGAAACAAGAATATCCAGACAACGCGACTTCGTGGGGTATGACGTCGGAGTTCAGCCAAGTCACTGCAAGTCCTAAAACCTTCGGCCGCTCCGAGAGAGCGAAGTGGCACAGTTCGTCACGTTTGTTCATTAGGCTGCACACGTTGGCGAATGCCACACGGAAGTCCAGGAGGCACTGCGGGGCGTGCATGGAGCTTGAGCAACCGATTGATACGAGTTCGTACACCCTACTTGATCTCCCGAAAATTTACACTTTGTAACTCAGTCTCACCTTCCCCTTTACAACAGTATTCAAAGGATCCCTGTCTTCGGGTTCCAAGTCTCGGCGAATGTGAACCTTTATGCCTTTCATCCGAGGCAGTTGAGACAGTATGAGCTGCGGTATATTGTGGTTTGCAAAGGTGATTCTCAGGAGTGGACATTACTGGTTAGTTAGCTGGCCAATTCGGATTGTTTTTTTAATCGTCACACTCTTCGCCCACATCCAAGAGTTTATCGATGATCCCCTGGAGGAACTCAGCGTTATGATCATAACGCATCTGAGGGTTTTCATCTTGACTCTGGTACGTGGAAGACAGTGAGGTTATGACGCCTCAGCAAAATCGGTCATGAACCTGTGGGAGCAGGACTAGAGGCGTTTATTGGTTTGGGTTGTTGTTTAACAGCAGGGGCCGCCTGAACACGATTACGTGGCCCTTTGGGCTTTTGAGTGGCCCATGGATCCTTGGGGTTCTGAAGTCCACAGACAGGCTCTGAAAGGTTCACGGACCGATCAGTGAATTGGCATTTCATAGGTTCCTGGTTTGACTCTTCAATCGGTGGGAAACATTGAACCTTGGGCTCGGCTTGGTCTTAGGCACTGGTTGTGGTGCAGATCGTGGAGTGACAAGGGAAGGAGAGTTGACAGAGGTACTTCCACGAAAGCGTTTGATCCCACGTGGTGAACGGTTTGTTTCTGCTTGGAAGATAGGTTTTCCTCAGTCATTGGCGGTCGCTGTTTTCGGATGTCTTGCACCGCGACCTTTATCACATATAACGTGAAAAAGCCTATGTCGGATGTCGGGAGGTTTTAGAAACACGTTAATGAATAAGCCAGTGCACCAACTATGGAACGAAACATCTCAGTGGGAGCACTGAAGTGCATGGGTATTATGTCCAACAACTTTCGAACACGAGCCACTAGTAGCTTGGGACGGTATCACGAGGTAGAACGAATCCAAGATGGAGGTTACAGACTGTAGTTGGTCCAATCAATGAGATCTCCGGAATAAGCCAAAGAATACCAACCAAAATTTTCACCAATTGGAAAATACATCAAATGATTATTGGTGCCCAATTCATACAGAAAAACACTTGTAACACAGTTATCCGAGGCAAAAGTACTATCTTGCACAATGTGGTTCAAAAATTTGCGTCGTCCGTGGGTACAGCCCGCACGATATGTGTGGAACCGGAACTACCTTGACGTAATTTGTGTCCAAAAATGTTCATGGGAGGCCATGGACGATGAGGTTAACACAGGTGAATGTGTTAGCAACCGATCATCATTCAATCGCAAATTCCTAGTGTCATTTGGTGGGGAGCTCCTATGGCTGTACCGCACTGTTGGCACTCGGCACTTGTTCGCACATCCCTCGATTTCTTCGGAATCACAAACCCCTAACTCTTATCTGATAGCCCGTAACTCATGGAATTGCGCTATGGGGGCCCCGATGGCCAACCTGCTATTTAGTTCGTGCTACTGGAACAGGACGTGCGTGTGTGTGACTTCCGCAGTACTGAGTTTATTAGCGACAAATCTGTGGGAAATTCGAATCCCCTACTACTACCTTTCCAATAGTAGCGTGCTTCATTTAAGAAGGCTAGTTATGACAAGCACGTCTTCAGCAAAGCTGATTGCTAGCTTCAGTTACAGAAAACATGAAAAGTTAATCGGAGAACCAATTCTCAGATCGCCATTTTGGTGAACATAAGTGACACAATGTAAAAACTTGTGAGGAGATCAAACTGAGGTTGTTAAAACATAAGCCGTTGAACAGAAGCCTCAACTGCTGATAGAGAGTAAGTAGGAAGTCATCACACGAACAAGAGATATTATCGATTGCTTTATTCAGCAAGGTGGCACATGCGGTGACATAACCGGTAGGTGTGCTCATACGGAACCACAGCACTGCACTGTGGATTTCATCTGTTAGCTAACTTACAATTGGCGAGATAGGAAACAATTTCGCAGTGTAAGCGACCATAAGTCTAAAAAATCCAGTAGCTATAGGTTCCGATGTGTCGTGTTATAATGTACAGTGAGTATTATTCGTCAGTGTTGGGTTTTCACTTATGCGCACACACCGTGAGCATAACAACTTCTTCGTACCACATCACTTGTCTATTTAGGTGGTGCTCAGCGGTGATCGCCTGTCAGTTGGGTATGCCAGTGGAGCAAGTGAAAGGCCAGATTGCGCTATGTCATCCAACTAAAGAGGTCCAGTTGGACCAGGACTTGAACTGCAAGGAGCTCATGCTACAGGAACATTCCATCATCTACGTCCAAGCCCCGCTGAGTTGACCGAAGTCAAGCAACTCACGCAAAGATGCGATGAGCGAACACAAGGATATCTTCTGTTGCCATGTACTTCCTTCGTTTTCCACTTTTCAATGTGTTACTGCGGATTGAGTTTCGGTTTTGATTACCTTGCTAACTTCAATTCTTCAAATCTCATTATATTATGCTGCCTAGTTAATTTCAGTATACTACCTATGTTACGATTATTTGATAAGTTCACTTTTTCTCCGAACATTGTACGCAGGAAAACCACTGACTTGAAAGTACCCATAAGTCCCAGTCAGTCCTCCGACGGATCTGGTTTTGCTGACTCGTAGAACTGTGGTAATAAAATAGGCAAACCAATGAAAAAGCTACTAGTAGCATCAATTGCGCGAGATAGAACAGTTAAATTTACAAGTAGAGGCTGAATGGGGGGGAAGGAGGATAGCGTTTATTAACATAGATGAGGCCAACCTCGAAGCTTCTAGGCGCGAAAGTGTATTAACAGCACAGTTAATTGTTGAATATACTCAAAGCTTTTAATGTACCCCTGACTAACAACCCTGAGAAATGGTGCTACTAAACGCAGCGTCGACAAAATTAATCATCATTATCCGCTTCCGAATGTAAATATCATTGCAACCGTGACTGCAAACAGCAACAGGACACCTGGGAAGACGAAGTGATCAAACGTTGCTTGCGTTGAACCATTCATTTCCCTTTGCGCTTGGCAATAATGATGGAAATCAATGTAATAGACTTGGAAAGGAAGATAAGTGGAACTAAAAACCTGCAGAACTGGAAGAGATCTAAAAATGCCAGCGATTGCAAACTTTAGGTTATTGACTCTGCACGAGCGTGTGCACAGTCCATAGTGAGTGCGCTCTTCTCCATCAAGAGTTTTCCTGCTGCATGTTCACCAAGCACAGATCTCATACACTCGTCGAAACGAATTAACTTTCGTATTCAGTATTTGCTTTCTCACAGACTTATTTACTGATCGTGGTTTCTGTAACGTACGCATCGGCCGTCTCGATAAATACACCGGAGCTCCACACTTTGGTACATCTCCGGTACAGAACACAAACTGGGTGACACAACTTTCACTGTCAAACTCAGTGGAGTCTGGTAAACAGCCAAAATTACCAGCAATAACTCTCAACTCGACACTGGATAGAGGAAGCACCGTTCGTTAAAGCTCGTGTGTGCCAATGGCAGCGAGTGTAAACCTAGCACAATAAATGGCAGGTTTCTGGGTGGTCGCAACCAGCGGGATTCCATCTCGACCCTATCGGATTCCAGTTGGGTCCACTGCTGAGACCCCGGACCCGTAGGTTCGGTGTTCGATTCCCCTCGAGGCAGATTAGTGTGCGAAGTTTATTCGTGGCTTCTACTTTATACGAATATTACAATTCTGACAAACTCTTTAAGTAATCTATCATCGCCATTTGAACATCAGAAGGACAGATACTTCGGTTCATTGAGAACTGACGAGTGCGTGAGCCAATCTGCAACACCAGGACAGATACTGAGCTCAAAGGTATTACATCGCGAACAAAGCAGAAGTCATGTATTAAATTGCGCACCTGATCGTCAGCCCTCGTTAGCTCAGTGATAGAGCAGCGGACCGGTAATCCGTGGGTCTGGGGTTCGATTCCCCGTGGAGGCAGCTTGTTGGGCAAAGTTTAATCGTGGCTTCTACTTTCTACGAAAATTACGCTACTCAAAAAAATTCACAAGAAATATTATCGTTAACGAGAATTCCTTCTTAAGTTAACGAAAAGGGATGCAATCCAAGATTAATGAAAGGGATTCTATACTTAACGTTCGGCTTAAAGCCAAAGACGAATTTGACATCAGTGTTGCACTCAGAACATCCAAAACACTATCCTGATGGCACACCAACGCACAAGACCGTTTAAGTAAGTTGGTCGAACTTAGAGCACGCCGTGCCTCATAACCGAGTGGCTTCATCACGATTACAGAGACTGAAACCATCCAGGATATGGCGCGCAAACGAAACCAGTGGAAGAGCTGTAGAGATACTTGTTTCGATGCAGATGCTGCATGCTTAACAATGGAAAAACGGAAAGGTGGTACGTGAAAGAAATAAGAAAAAGGTTTTTTCTTTTTGCGGCTCAGTAGCTGAAACGTGTTGTTCATCTTCAGCTAATATGTCATGGTAATTCGCTGGTTAAACCTTGGAGGATAGCCAGTAGCATCTGCACCAGTAGGAACCTGCGTGGTAGTTCAGTTGCCGTCCCCCCTTGGCTCAGTGGCCTAAGCTGCTGGCTAGTTGGCGTTCACCTCTACAAGGTCGTGGGTTCGATCACCAGTAGGGGACCGAAGGAATGAACGCCACTGACGAGCTTCAATAAGACAAATCTAGCCTGGTGCTTTTACGGGTTGTGGTTGAGCTATGTAGCTTGTGAGTTGTTGAGACGAATGCATTAAAATTTAACCTGTACTCCTCCAGTGATAGTCTCACTGTCTCTTTCGTAAACTGTTGCTACTACTACTATGAATACCTGGTAAATATTAGAACTGATTCTCAGATAAATTTACTCGGTCTTTCGCTGTTTCTGAACAATAGAACTGGAAGGGTTGGTCGTGTGATTCTGTATTACGTTGCTGACCTCTGAGGTAAAGTTATTGATCAACCAGAAATCTGCTCCCGATGCTCTTTGTTGCCTGTTCTGGTTTCAGAACAAGGATAGAAGTCTAGTAGCCATAATTTACCGCCCACCAAACTCCACCTGTGAAGTGGATGCTAAACCGAATCACGTTCATATGATTGTTTTGAACAAATCATACAGCCACATATTCATTGCTGGAGAACTTAATGTGCACGACATGGAAACGCCAGCAATTAAACTATATTGTTCAAAGCTTGTTTGCAGGAGCTAATTTCCAGCTACCCTGTGTACAACCACGTAACCTCTCCCACCAGATTTCGGGATGCTAACGGGCGTTGATACATGATCTTGTGCTCACTAACGAAGAAATCATGGTCACCGGAATAAATACAAGCACGTCATTGGGTCGCAGTGACCATGTTACTCTACTGTTCGACTATGTATGCCATGCTGAATATCCTGACGAGGAGGACGACGAAGTATAAACTGTCAAGCACTACGACGTGCTATCCACGCTAGTTAAGGATACCCCTTGGCACTTCTTAATCGAATACCCCAAAAAGGTTGCCTGGGAAAAGCTCACGAAGACTTTTAGCACAGTGGTAGTGCATGCATCAGCACAGAACTTATTTCACCGTCAAAAGAAAAGCGCCGTTTCTGAGGAACCTTTCCTGTTAATGTATATCCCCGAAGGATTTAGCATAGAGAGCTCACAATATCTGCCCAAATGCCGAAGCCTGGACTACCCACGTGGCACAGTGTAACTACCGTGTGAATTTGATCCGCGAGGATAAGGTGAGGCATCATCAGGAGTAAATGAAGCGCACCTTCACTAACCGTAAACTCCTATACAGTCACGTAAATGGCCTTCGTAGGGTGTAGCCCGGATTCCCAGCACTGGTCACGACTGATGGGTGCACGCAACCAATAACGGAAGCAACCCATCTCTTACGGTTACATTACGGCCATACGCTCCAGCGGATAACGAGCCCAAATATTCTCCTTGTTGCTACTACTCGATCGTCGAGTTTCTACATCAACTCCACTGCCGAGGATGGGTTGAAGAAATCGTTATCTCTGCGTATCTAGATTTCTTCTAGAATAGCTAACATTCGACCGAAGTATTCAGTGACCTAGCAGAACTACTGGCAGCTTTCAATCAACGCTGAATAGAGGAGAACCGAATTCCACCCATATGGAAGAAAGAGGTCTTCAGCCCTTTTCATAAGGGAGGCAGTAGAATTGACCCTACCAAGTACCGTCCAAGAAAGCTGCTTCCTGTGCTTTCCAAAGTTATGAAATTAATCAGCCCAGATGCGGTAATACAGTACCTGGAATATCACAGACTAATAGTGCCGTCAGAAGCACTCGTGACTACAAACCTACTATTTGCACTCAACAGCTGGATTGAAGTAGTCGATGATAGAGCAGGAAACAAAATCATTTTTCTGGACTTTTCAAAAATATTTGATCGCGTAGATCACCGATTGCTCCTCTATAAACTTCAGACCTATAGCATTGGTGACCTACTCCTGCGTTAGATAGACAACTGCCTGCACGAACGTCGGTTGTAAGTGAGAGTACAAGAGTCCCTGTTCGACGCAACTGAAGTGGAGTGCTGCGTAGCACAAAACTCAAGTCTCGTCTATTCTTGGTTTTTATAAATGACCTAGCGAGATCAATTGTTTCTGATTTCCTATTCCTCGCAGAGGATATTAAGGTATAGCGAGCGACCCGGGGATGGGACCACCAAGAAGAGTTCAGGCGCGATGTTAATGCGATTTCGAACTGGTCAGTTCAGTGTACACAGCGTCCAAAACAGCTCCCAGTTACGTCACCTTGGTGTGTTCATACAAATGAATTTAACTGTTGAAAACAGTCTGTGGCAGCTGCGGAAAGTGGCAACCAGCCCATTGATCTGATGCGAAGTGCATTCGGGAGATTTAACCCATCAATCTCCCCGGTGCTGAACAATTCCTACGTGCGCACTCGCATGGAATACGCTATCCAAACTTGGAAACCTTGGCTGAAGTGCGACCTGGAGGTGCTAGAGTCACCGCAATGCATAGCAACAAATAATGTTAAGGGCCTACTTAATCACTTTTGTCAGCGAAGGTTGAAGTTGTTGGGAGTTTTCAGTCGACGCTACCGAAAGCTGCGGGGCGATCTCATAATAGCATAGCAAATATTACGTAATCCCAATCACATATGCCGAAATCTGCTGAAAATTAGCCACAAAAGCAAGCTCAGAAGTAAACTTTTTAAAGGTAAATGAAAGATAAGCCGTCTGGTATGTTGACGAAACTACTTTCTCCATCGCGTTTGCCAACCCGAACGCAAACATGGTTCTCACCTCTATTTGACTGTATGCAAGAATCAGTTGGTTTTTGCTCTTGGCTCCCAGTATTTTGTGACACATAGTGCGCTCTTGTAGGCCCTATTAACCATCTCCTTCTACTAGAATTATGTATCATAATGTAGCCAGAAAGAATCTAGAGAGGAGCAGGTGTATTGCTACAAACATGCGCAAACTGACAAATCACAAAATCCTACAGATGTGGACCGTGTTTCATTCACACGACGCACCGCCGGTGGCGGGAGACGGGCCATTCCCTGTGTCTTACAAACTTCAGCCTAGGGAACAATTGC